CTCAAATGTGTGACAAGGAAGCTATGTCCAATCACGTGGGACGAAGATGGTCTTGTCTATATCTTGAAAATTTGTTGCAACAAAACTATATTATATGTCTTAAAAGTGAGTTGGTTTAGTCTTTCTCTATGCATGCCATGAGAGGTCCTATAAAGAATAGCCATACCCATATGGTTTCTAGGTTTTCATGTTGCCTATTTTTGAAATGTTGCAATTTATATTAATTTGTTTTGTTCAAAAGATGTTTCATGCAATGTCAGTAGGTTATAAGTTGATTGTTTTTGTTTTTCCTTTATATGTATAGGGAAATATGACAAGCTACAGCTTCATTTCTTGTTAGACATACACATGATTTTTTAAAACTGAACTGTAAATAACGGTTTGTGAATTTTTTAAATTGAATAATTGTTTTACGCAGAAGACTAAAATGTACTAAACCGAAGTAATAAATTTTCTTTTTTTTTTTTGAAAGGTTAATCACTTCATTAAGCTAAATCGAAATACAAAGCATCAATAATAAAAGAGACAAGGACAGGACCTCACTCCCTAAGATCAGGCATAAAACAGACGTGTGTTGCAAGTAAATGTGCAACATTGTTTTGAACTCAAACTTATATTGCAATTGAGCACTAAACTACCGAAGTAACAGGTTTAGTTTGGTTGTTAAAATATTTGAAATAAATAGTTTTGATGATCTTTATGTGCTTAATGAATAAACTTTCTATTTTCACACGCATGCAAAAAATAATAATAATAATAATAATAAAATAAATTGATTAATCTAATTGTAAATGTAAATATAATAGTATTAGATTTGTTTACTTGTATTTTCTTTGAATTTCATTTTTTTAAAAGATTTCATCAGTAAAAAATTTAATTGTAAAATTTAATTCAATGAATAACATTCAATATGCTTATAAGAATATTCAGATAATAAATATGCTTATAAGAATATTCAGATAATAGACCTATATAAGAATATTAATCAATATATTATCAATAAATATTAAATTCTATATCATAAATATTAGTTATTGCAAATTTAGTTTATGTTAATATTCTTTAAAATTCATTTAAAATAATTTCCAAGTGAGTTAATTATCTATAGCATAAAATTTTCAATCTAATTTCTTTTCAATGTTATTGCCATAACCATACGTTCTAAACTGGCCCATCTGTGTTGGGCTAAAATAGGAGTTCATCTCGTAAGTATCAGCCAAATTGGGCTCTTGTGGCCTTTTCGTTATTGTTGGGTAATGAGGCCCCGTTAATGAGTTAGTGCCGTACGACGTCGTCAAAGAAAGGAAAGTATTGCAGACTGCCTTCGAACGACAGGACGTGGGATTTAAAATATGTATTAGTTTAGCTTAGTCAGTGAGCAAAACTGCAAAAGGATAACAAAAGCATTTCTGTAAATTAATTAATTAAAATTGTAAGAAAAGTAACCGATCCGATCCCAACAGATATTCCAAAACCCATGATCTTCCATTGAAATGGGCAAGCAAAGTGATGTTTGAAAAAGCACTGAAAATACAGTTTGCAAAAAAGGGGCAAACATCTTCTTTCAGCTTTTCTTTGATCTACTAGATGACAGGTTGAAGTGACAGCCTTTTTTATTTATCTGACGTTACTCCAAATAAACCCATCAAAAACCCTATTCTATTCTATGACTATATGCCTCTCCTCCTTCACCAACTATCACCATTTTGCTTGTGCAATCTTTTTGTCAGGGCATGCACCCACATGCTCTCTACATTGCTCCTACTGTTTCCTCTTATCTATTTCTTGAACTTATTTTTGAATTAACTGTTAAAATAAACCCAAAGATTTGTATTCCCACAAAAAGCAATCATAACCCTACAAACCCACCATATACAAAAGGATTTCTTGCTTGTTTATGTTGTTTTAGGTATTTGATTGGGCATAAAATGAAATAAATGACTATGCAATGGGTCTTTGCAGTTTGGAACACCAAAACCCTAATCTCAAAACTTCAAAACCCGATCTGTAGCATTTTCTTGCGTAATTTTATCCAAAAATATGAAAGCTATGGTATGGATGAAGACAGATGGAGGGAAAGAATATATTAATGTATATAAAGATCTGAGGCTATAGCTTTTTTTCAGGTTTCTGGGTTTTGCATGGCTCAAGAAAACCAGAAAATTATATAAATATAACCTTAACAACTCAAACATGTCAAGTGCTAAAACTATACTGCCATTGAAGAGTGATAGTAAGTAAAATTGGTAATATTTCAATAGAAAATACATTCTTGTTGTCCTTGTTTCTGCAGTTTGAAGGATTCTACACCAACCTCGATCCACGCTTTCATTTAATGCTCGAATGACCATTTTCATTTCTCTCTCTTTTAGATGCTCATATGTCTGGAGGTCGCACACGAGTTGCATGAACCTTATTTTTCTTCCTTACACGTGTATTGAGGTAACGATAGTTTGGTGCCTATGCCATGGTGAGAGAAATTGGATTTGATCTGTTTCTTCTACAATTTGAAATGAATGTATGTGTTTGGATTCCAATAATTACAAATTCAACCTTCAAATTTTTTGAAAGGTGAAAGACCAACTTAAATTAACTACAATTATAGATTACAGCACTATAAATGAAATGGGAGGGAGAAAACTCCACTCCCTTATATTAGACATAGTTGCAAGCAAGTGTGTAACACTGTTCGCTGATTCTCTAGCAAAAGCATAAGATGAATAAGACAGTTCTTTCAAAATAGATTTACAGTCGCTAAAAATATTGCCAAAATAAGAAGAATATGCAAATCTCTTAGCAAGAGCTAATTTCAAACTTTAACTTGAAGTATGAGGATTTAGCAATTCACTATTGTGTAAGACTTACTATCTTAATAATTATTGTTCTTTCTGTTCAATTTATTTACAAAAACTGAATTTGTAGAAGGATTAAGAAGTTAATTTAATTGAAATTTTTTGCTTATTCTTTCCTAATTTGCCTTAAAACCTCATTAGCTCTTCTTATTCTTCTTCTTTCTTTTTTTTTTTTTTTTAAATCAAGAGGTGTAATCTCCCTTGGATTATAGAACGTAAACGTTTTTAGTCGTCCAAATAAAGTGTGATTCTTGGATATTGAACTTGTGTTATGGTCTTTACAAAAATTGAACTCTGCTTTTTTTTTTTTTTTTTTTTTTTTTTTTTTTTTTTTTTTTTTTTTTTTTTTTTTTTTTTTTTTTTTTTTTATGTTAGCCAACCTAGCTTTTAAAACAATAACAAATGCATTTAATTTAAAGTTGACGTATCAAAATGGAGGGAATTGTTTAAAAAAAAAAAAGGAACAATCAAATTAAAAATCAAAAATTTAACAAAGCAATGTCAGATTAAAAATTTACGGAGTAAACTAATCTACGGTGTGTTCACTTGTAGAAATTTGAAGTAGTTTAGAGTTTTATGTTCAAATTAATCAGTTTTTTATTTGGAAAATTAGAAAACAGCTTTTAGTTTTCTAAAATTTAACTAAGGTTTTAAAAACAACTTTTTCCACAGTTTTTCTTTATAATAAAAAACATGTTTTCCAATTGTTTTCCATTTTTATAAAATAACATTTTCATAATTAAAGTTATAATATATATGTTATAATATATATATAATATATAATTTTTTCTATAAAATAATATTCATTGATAAATAATTAAATTATAAAAAAATGTATTTATACCTTTAATATATAATTAATTTTTATTATTTACAAATATATTATATCAATTTTTTCTTTAAAAAATTTTACAAAATGAAAAAATTGATACTTATTGTTATAAAATAATCAAAGGAATAAAATTTTAAAAAATTTTAAAATAAGAAATTCCTATATTGTTATAAATAATCAAGAATAAAAATTTAAAAAATTTTAAATAAGAAATTCCTATATTTTTTTATAATATTTTATTTTAATTATGAAAGTCATGAATAATTTTATGAAGTTTTTAAATTAAAATATAATTTTTTTTATTTTTATCAAGTGAACAAATTTTTTATTTTCTATTAGTAAAAACACCTTAACTCGAACACTTTTGTGTACCAAAAATACTGGGCAAAATGATTTTTTTTGAAACTTTGAATTGTCTCTTTAATTTCTTCAAAATATTCTCTTACAAGTACTAGCCAGTCGAACATGTAATTTCTTATGCATGCATGTTTAAAGAGAAAGAAAAAAAAAAAAAAAACATTATGAAATCACCGTATATGTTTGACACAATGTCTTTCAATAAAATAATTGGATGTAAGAAAATTTTTGTATTTATTTTTAACGTATAAGAATAACATTAACAGCTTATTTGAAAAGAAGGAAGGAAGGAAAATTGAGATAAAAAATAAGTAGAGAATACCTTAAAGAAAATATGGATTGAATCAAAATAACCATTAAAATTCTCTCCGGCCACAAAAATACAGTGTCCTCCAAACTGCAGAGAGAGTGGTGGAGATAGAATCAAAATTTCTTCTTTCTTTTATTTTACTTTCAAATCAAATATAGGATGAAAAATTAGGAGGGAAAATGAATACCAACGTAGAGCTCACAATTATCATTTGATTCAATACATTTAAAAAAAAAAAAATTAATTCAATTCGTACATATATGAAAGATATATTTGCGAAAATTAAAAATATTACACAGTTTAAATATTAACGAAGAGATAAATTGGTAACGGTTGTGCTTTGGAAATATAAGCACATTAAATGTATTGTCAATATTTTGTCTGTAATTTTTTATTTTACACAATTCATGTAATAGATAAAGGTAAATGAAGGGCAATATAGACTTGGCATTTTTATCTCCTAATAAAAATTGATAAGTTTGTCTATATATACAAATTAAACGTCAAAAAAAGAAAATTTCAAGGGAGTATTATTATTAAAGATATATATAAAAAAAAAAAGCAGTGTCATGTTCAGTATATATTGGAGGGAGCAGAGAGCACGACAAGATTGGTGTACCCAGTGTCTGTGCGCTGTATGAGTTCCGCGCCTCTGTCTCTCATATCACGCCGCCATTGATAAACATTGGTTTTTTGTCTTGTAATGTATGGGGGCGAAGAGGTATAATGGGTAATCTCTAATTCCAATTTCCATCATTACACAAATTTTTATATCCCTAAAAAGTGAAAGAAACTGACTCTTTGCAGGAGAAATAAAGCTTCACCCTTTTGCTTGCCCTACCCTATTCTTCCTCAAACAGTTGAATCTCTACCTTTCTCTGCTCTTTCCCCTATTGGGTTTCTTTGACCTTGTTATTCTCCTTCATTTTTAATTCGATCCTTCATCTCTTTTTCTTCTTTGCCTGGACATACCCATTTTCTTGATAAGCCGATTATCTTTTCTCTTTGCCTTTGTCTTCTTCTCTTCTTCTTCTTCTTCTTCTTCTTCTTCTTCTTCTTGGTCTTTCTGTTTCTTTCGAAGTATGTGCAAAACCCCTCTTTCTCCTTCAATGGCTTCTCAACCGACAAACCCTAACTCTAACTCTAAAATACTGAACCCTAAACCATTAAACCCACATGCTTCTCCTTTTCTGAAATCAGAAGCAAAGAAAACAGATTTGGCTTTGCCTTTAGAACCCTTTCTTCCTCACAAAATTTCCACTCTTCAATCGCAGCCGCTCCCACAACCACCAGTCATGTCGGTGCCGTTAGCAGCTCAGGGTTTCCTTTACTATCCCGATTTTGTCTTTCATCAACCCGCTCCAGCTTGGACAGACCCAGCTGCACCAACAGTGTACTATAATGCTCAAAAGCAGGCATCGCATGCTAATATGACGCCTTTCTGTACTGGGGCTGTGGGCAAGGAGCTGATCTTGTATAACGCTATTGCACAACCTTTAGGGACCTACTCTGGGTTTTATGATCCTAACTGTGATTTACAAAAGGACTCTAGTGCTGGTGATCAGACTGTGCAAACGAGGATTACGGGTTTTACTAAATATGGGGTATTGGGTTGTAAAGAGAAGAGGATGTTCAATAGAAATGGCAAAAAGCTTCGTCTCGCACCACCGAGATTAAGGCTACAGAGAAGTGCTAAAATGGAATCTTATGCAGAGGGATTTTGGGTACCCAAAAAACAGAAGTCGGATAAGGAGTTTGAACATGTTGGTTCCCAGACTTCTACTACTGTAATGAAGAAGAAAGGAGACTCTGATGGTGCTCTAGTTGCTTCTGTTGCTGACAGAGATGAAGTAAACCATGAAGGAAAAACTAGTCTCATGATAAGAAATATTCCGAACCAGTTCGAGTATGTTTCTCTCTCTCTTTAATAAGTTTATGTTTGATGATTCCGTTTGATTTCTCTATACATGGTTGATTTTGGTGTTTTCGTAGACAATTATTGTCTTTGCCTCCATTAATCACTTGCTTAAAAAACCTAGTTCTTAATCTTATTATATTTGTTATTCTTGCTCCAGCGTCCGTCTGTTTGTTTTCGCTTTGTGACCTTTGGCCTCCAAAACATTATCAATAAAAGCTGGTAAAAGTGGAAAGGAATTAATGGCTGATCGTTTTGTCTTCCTTTTCTTTTTGGTTGTCTTTTTTGTACTGTTGTACACTACACAAGTCCAAAATTAACAAGTTATTAATGCTTCATGCTCCATGTGAATAATAAAGGCCCAAATGCTTTTTTCCTTTTCTAATGTTAATTTTCCATAAATGCCATTCTTTTATTCGTTAAAGGGATTTGTTTTGTTTTGTTTCTTTATGGAAATGGAATAGAAGGCACGATCTGCTGCGTATTCTGGACAAACATTGCCTTGAGGAGAACAGAAAGGCCAGGTTACAGTCTGATCCCGTTAGGTCTGAGTACGATTTTCTTTATTTGCCAATGGATTTTAGGTAATTATTTTTCGTCCATTCTTGTTTTTATTTATTCTTTATAGATCCAGAATATTTTTTGATTGGAATTTTGATGGTGAAAATTAGGAACCGGGCAAATTATGGTTATGCCTTCGTTAACTTCACGAATCCAGTTGCTGCTTCAAGGTTTTGGAAGAGCTTCCATAAATATGAATGGCCTGTTTATGTTAATAAGAAAATTTGTGAGATTTCTTGTGCTGTTATTCAGGTTATATATGTTCAAACCCTATCTTTCTTTTGGTTCTTTGACCAAAGATTTTCTATTTTGGTGAATGGTTTTTTCATTTATTAAATCTTGGTTTGTTCTTGTACATAGGGAAAAGATGCGTTGAAGAACCACTTCAGGAACTCGGTTTTTTCTTGTCACACCAATGGATATTTACCTGTAGTTTTTTGGCCACCAAGGGATGGCCATGTCCGCTCCAAGATCATCTTAGTTGGTAGACGTGCTGCAGCCGCATCACCACCGCCACCACCAAGAGGCCCAGCGAATTAGAAAGCTTGAAACAAGAAATTTTTCCATCTGAAAGATTAAAGAAGGTGGTAGCTTTTGGATTCTTGGATTTGGTGCGGAGACTAATAGTAACTTTTTAGGGTTAATGATTGAAATAATGTTGTAAAGAGTGTCTGTCGTAGCCTGTGTTTGCATTATCTTCTCAGATGGTGCTGGAATGGAGGTGCTACGTGGCAGATTCTGCGGTGAAATGGGAACACGGGGTAGTGACTGTCAATTGGTACTAATAGATGGGTTAGGGATTAGTGATCGTGTGTGGGTGATTGTAGTCCTCTCTCTGAGTCTGTAGGTTTTCTTACTGGAAATTAAAAGTTGGTCCTGTGTTTTCATTATCTCCCCAGTAAGTTGGGATTAGTGCAAAGTCTGGGGTGAATTGGAAACATTGGTTTAGGTTTGGTTTAGCTAAGGATTTTGTAAAAGAGCACTACACCCTAATACATGTGTTGTAATTTAATATATATGATGATAGCTTTAGTGGTTTCTACTCTTATGATTTTTATGTATTGCTGACTAATTTATAGAGTATGTGTATTATCATTATTGAATGTGTAAAATAAAGGAGCAACTGATCTATTTCTGACATAATTTAAAATGATTAAAAAGAATGGTAATATTTTTCGTTGAGATTATTTATTTAAATGAAGGTTCGTGATATAGCTTTTCCCTTTTTTTTTTTTTTTTATAAGTCTGAGGGAGCTATATGATGTCTATTTTTCCATTAATAAGAGTATTTCCCACATAAAAAGATGGCTCGAGTCTTGAGTTTAAGCAACCTTATGAGAAATCAGTTTTATATAAAAAAAGTGTTCGTAATGAAAAAAATAAATAAATAAAGAGGAGAGTAATTTTATGGGTTTGCCTTGATAATAAATTATAATGTTATTTTTTAAAAACAAGAAATACTATGTGGAATGTTAAATCCATTAGAGGGAGAAGGGATATGAATCCTTGACTTCTTTTTTTATGAGCGCTTCACTTTTGTCATCCAAATTAAGGATTATTTGAATTTGAAGTCAAGTCTTTTATCACATACAATATGGGCTATATTTAACAAAAATTTGGGAATCATCTTAAATTTGATAACTTTGGAAAGGACGTCACGTCATAGTTCATATTGCCCTCGTTAGGTTTTTAAGCAAAGTTTGAAGTAGGAGAGAATCGCAAAGTAATGATGACAGACAAAAAATTAAATAGTCATTCAATGTGGGAAAAACATTTGTTTGTAATTTTCAAAGTCAAATGAGCACAATATACTCATACATGCACATGACTAATTAAAATACAAGTCAAAGACATATTTCCTTCCAAATAATAGTGCTTAACATTGTTAAATACCGCAGCATTTGGCATAGTCTTTTCAATATCAGCATATAATATTTTAGGAACACAATTTTCAACATCTTAAGTAACGTTTTTTCTTTTGTTTACTTTTATTATTGTTTTTAGAACATTATTGGAGGGTTGTATGATTGGATTGTCTATAAAAGTCAAATATTTCTCACTAGACAAAGAGTTCAGATATTAGGACATAATGTGTATATGGACACATCTTCAATTGCAAGCGAAGTTGCAGATGCAGTGTTGAGATCAAAGTGAATTGGTGGATTTATCTTAATTTTTTGATAATTGGATTGGAGTTGTGAGCTCTTCTTTAATTTATAAAAGGCTCTTTTGTGGAAGTTGAGGGACCCTTTATTCTTTCAAAAATTTTGGAGTAAAATCATTAAAATAGCACCCTAATTCCTTTAGTAGGGCATAAGAAGACTCCTTGTAAATATTCAAATTTTTACGCTAATTTCAAACTTTGTATTTCAATTATTCCTTTCCTAATGAACACCTAATTCCCTCCTTTAAGCCTCTAAACTGAAAATTCAATGCATGCCTCTTCTCTCTCATGCATGAGTGAGTTTGCGTAGAAACTTGAATAGGAGTTAATGGTGTTATAGGAGCAAACTAGAAAAAAAAAAAAAAAAAATGAAAAAATTTCAATGGCATGCCTTCTTCTCTCTCATGCATGAGTGAGTTTTGCGGTAGAAACTTGAATAGGAGTTTAATGTGTTAAGGAGCAAACTAGAAAAAAAAAAAAAAAAAAAAAAAAAAATGAAAAAATTATAGCTAAACTATTTCCTTGATTCTTGTGAAAATTTATCTAAATAGAATAAAGGGAATATGAGTTTTTCTGAAAATTCAAATTTTTACGCTAATTTCATTTTTCAATTTATTTCAAATTTTTTATTTCAATTATTTCTTTCCTAATTAACACCTAATTCTCCCCATTAAGCCTTTAAATTGAAAATTCAATGTATCCTTCTCCTCCCTTAAGCATGAGTGGACTTGCATAGAAATTTAAACAAAATTTAATGGTATTTTAGGGCAAATAAGAAAAAAATAAGGAGAAAAATGCTTTTAAACTATCTCGTTAATCAGCATGAAAATTCAGTTTTCTCTATTTAAATAGAGAAATAAAAAAGGAGTATGTCATTTTTTTTTTTTTTTTTTTTTTTTTTTTTGCATAAATGCATTGGCAAAAGACTACTCTATCGTCAAAAAATTTTACTGCAAAAGTTGAATCTAAGCCAATTATTGTGTTTTTCACAGTCAAATTAATTATACGTTCACAAATGGAGAAATTAATTTTTTTTTTTTTTTTTTTGCATTAAATGCATTGTGCAAAGACTACTCTATCGTCAAAAATTTTACTGCAAAAGGTTGAATCTAAGCAATTATTTGTGTTTCAAGTCAAATTAATTATACGTTCACAAATGGAGAAATTAATGATGGTTATGGTTGGAGAAATTAATAATGGTTATGGTTTTCAAGGCAATTAGGGTTGACGGTACAACTTTTGTAAATTAGAAGAATGTCCATTCGATAAGAGTTAAAGGATAATAAGATTTGAAAAACAAAATCATGGTTGACTCTAATTATATTTGCTCAAGAAAATGAATTCAAAAAAAGAATAAAAATTACACCCTTATCCCGTGTGTGTATATATATATATAGACCTAATTTGACTTTCGTATTAATTAAGAAAAATTAATTAATATAATTAAATTATATCTTCTGTTTTTTTTTTTCAAAAATATCCCTTTGTAATATTAAATGATGGACATTAATTGAGAATATGAATGTACATTAAATAGCGATATGTTAAGAAATTAGATAATAAATGATGTTTTAAGAGAAAAAATAGGACTGTATTTTGAAACAGACGAAAATAGGAGGGAGTAGCATGTTATTTCCAAAACATTTCATTATATTAATCATTAAGTAATAAATAAAAATTGACGAAAAGAGAGATTCAAATTTAAATTTCAAATCCAAGATAAATGGGATAGTTCATAAACTTAATGGGAACTTTCTATCCAGTCCATACATATGTTACTAACATATATCCAGCCCATCATAAATGGATTTAAATGTGAACACGTTGATCCGATAGTTGACTAGTATGGCCAAGATTAAAGTTATAGACTACCTGCGTTGAGGTTTTATGAAGAACGAATATGAGAGAAGTGGGTGAAGGAAGAGAGGAATGAAAATCGAGAGAACGACAAAGAGTAAGATCTATGGCGTGTGTATTTGTAGCAAAAGCATTCAATGACGCATATAAACTGGCATGTGGAATGACTCAACTCATATAACCTAAAATATAATGACCATGAGAGCTAGAGAAACTCATCTTTCTATCCAGACATAGGGTGCTAATAGTAAAATTTAACTGTCTCAATCCAGGGCAATTGCACCAAAAAAAAATTCTGAGTTCCTTTTGGATTATATCCCAAGAATACAACAAACACTACTCAAAAGACGGGGAGAAGTCAAAGTAATCTTTCAATTACATAGATTGTACATTAATTCAGGACTATGGTGAGAATGAGCCAAACCAATCACAAATTAGCTCAAATTGATAACATATGGTAACATATGTTAATGGGCAGCAAAACAGGACCTCATAAATCACCAACATGTGCTCTCTTTAAAATTTCTCATGCTATCTTCCACAAACAAATTTCAATTTTATCTGCAAACGTACAAGCAACTCAACAACAAACATTACAGTTTTGAAAGTTTAGCTAGTTTACAGTTGTGTTCATAACATCATTAAGGAATCAAAATACCTATGCCGAAAACACCCAATATTGATTAATGAACATCAACAAAGTGCATGCAGCAGGCTACTTAGAGTATTAAAAACTGAGAAATAAAGAGGATGGAAACCACAAGCACTTGCCTAAAGTAGAAACTCGATTGCATTAAGTCGTTGTACCAGGACTACAGAGTGATTGCATTGCAACCAAAATTTGAATTATCGGGGAGCTTTTTTCTTCCCTGCAACAGTGACTCTCTTACCCTTCAAGGTTCTGCAATTGTTCTTAGTGCGCTGTCCTCTACATGGTAAACCTTGAATATGTCTTATTCCTCTATAGCACTGAATCTCCTTCAACCTCCTTATGTTGAGAGCATTAAACCGTCTCTGAAATATTCAAGATTCAAAATATTCAGAGATAAAGATTGCCAATTTTTATTTTAAGAAAGAAAGAAAATAGAGAAAGTTAAAAGGGATTTACTAAATCGCCTTCAATCATGTATTTGGAGACCTCATCACGAAGAGTAATAAGCTCCTCCTCGGATAAGTCCTTAGTGATTTTGTTCTCAAAACTGAGATCAGCAAGGATTTGGCGAGCCCTAGACCGGCCAATGCCATGGATATACTGAAGGGAGTATTCAACTCTCTTGTTATTAGGAATCTCCACACCTCCTACACGAGCACATTGGATGCTTAAACCATGGACCTAAATACAACATAAGAGAAATAAACCATTGCTATGCATTAGCATCCAGCTACTTCCAATAAAAACAAAAGGGCAAAACTCAATTACATTGTTTGAATCCTAGAATTCTCAACGCTCAGGACCTTCAAAAGAAAAAACCCTTTTTAACTCGATTGAACTTGCTTGAACCAAGTAATTGCTGATAACACACCAAATTATGTCTAAAATCAACTGCTAAACACGCAAAGCTTTCATCAGATTGCCAAGTAAATGCAGGATATAGCAGTAATTAAAGCATTTGGATTGCCAATAATTTTTTTTCTATACATACGTGAATACCTCTAATTGATAAGCCTAATTACAATTCTAAGCTAACTCGAGTTCAGATTTTGAGAAATCACAGAGCTTGTAGAAACAGGTAATGTAATAGAAGTCAAATAAAAAACAAGAAGAAAGAGAAATACAAAACAAAATAAAAAATAAGCTTAAAATATTTAATGAAATTGGGCTTGCCTTAGGAGGGCTTGCGATCGGGAGAGAGACGAAGGCAAAGAGAGAATTACTTCGCCGGTTGTTGCATATAACTGAAAGTGAGGGTGCCACGGGCATTGCCAGTGCTTGTGCCATTTTTTCTATTTGCTAAAGTTTCTCGGAAGCCAAACAGACGGTAAAGAGCTCCACAGGCTACCAGTCGCTTATCCAGTTATCCTATTAACGGCGAAACTTAGGGGTACTCGCTCAGACAGAAAGATTAGTAGCATACTCAACTCTCTACAATACGAAACGCTGCGTTTTAGGGCCGAAGTCCGATGTTTTTTGGGCTTTCTGGCTTAAGCCCACAGTGAAGTCGAGGGAATTTTTTATAAATTAGTGTTTTTCTTTTTTTTTTTTGGTCATATTTTGATAAATTAAGTATTAATCACATACTGTCCATGTATTTAGCATTACTACCCATTACTTCAGGACGGAGGAAAAAGTTAATTTACCGCCCACCAACAAGAAAGAATAATAAATTACCATTTATTCACTGAATAATTCTAAGACTTGCAAGTTATCATATATTGTCTAATTCAGTACTAATACTCTGTTTTTTTTTTTTATTTTAACTGCCTTTGAGACCAACTTGAAATAATAACTTGAACGCAAATAACTTCACCTCTAAAGAACAACATCCTTCGATAATTTAACTCATAAACAACCAAGTAGTCCCCAGATTCGGTAACCACTTATTTCTGTAAATCCTGCTTCATACATTGCAAGTATCCTAACATTCACGCTAAGCACAGAATTGCAAAATTAAACATTCACAATTCACACATTACTATTCAAAACCAAAGACACCATCAAAAAGCCAAAATTAGAAGACTAAATATAGTTTAGTCACTGCCAACGCTGGTAGTTACTCTATCCTTTTGGTCGCTTCGATTAACCTCCTCTTTCTTGACGTCTTTGTATCGATTCAGCTAGAGATAGACGTCCATCCAGATTGCCTCTTCTTTGTCCTGAGAGATAATATGAAAGCAAATCTAAATAAGAATAGCTAACAAATAATAACAAGTACACATCCTAAGATAATAATAACTGAATTTTATTGATTTAAAATACAGCACTTGGCTTTCAGTTTGATTCAGTTAAAAAACTGATAATGCACTTCAATAATAGAACAATCTGGCTCGACAGTGTTCAAGGCAATCAATGTTATTAACATCCTTACCCTTCCTAGTCCGGGCATTGGTTTTAGTGCGCTGTCCTCTGCATGGCATCATGCAAACATGATTAAATCCTCTGTGGCACTGAATACCTACCAATCTCTCTATATCAGCTTTAACATGTCGCCTCTAAACCACCAAGAATGAATCAATTAGAACGAGTAACTCACTGGAAAAGAAGGTAAAATGGAGTAAAGAGAGAAAGAGAGAGCTTACTAAATCATCTCCGATCAAGTACTTGGAGACTTCCTCTCTAAGAGAGTGAAGTTCAAATCCAGTTAAGTCCTTGGCAGGCTTGTTCTCTAGGCTTAGGTCGACAAGGATTTTGTGAGCTCTTTGGCGGCCAATTCCCTGAATATGCTGAAGGGCATACCTCAACCGTTTTTCATTTGGGATTTCAGCATTACCAATTCGAAGGCATTGCACCCTTTGGCAACGGAACTGCAAAAAAGTGAGTTAAGGATTAATCTAAAAAGAGAAGAACTCCAGTCAGATTAAGAAAAACATATGAGTAGGAAGTTGCAGTTTGTGATTTATAAATTGTTTGGGACACCAAAAAACTAGAACCTCCATCCCAAATGAGAATACATCAACGTTATCATTGATGACCAAAAAAGTTCGCAAATACACTATTCTGTACTTCATTTTCTGGAATCTAATTACCAAGTAAGAACCTTTTGCTTGATAAAATCAATCACGATTCACGTATTTCATAAGTTCTAACATTTCATATTAAAATTGCAATCACGAGAATTGCTGTTAAGCGTTTCCAAAATCTACTGTAATTGTGTTTTTTTAACTGATAAGGCATAATAAAATAAATGGCATATGCAGAATATAATAAACTAGCCCAGTTAATAAATGAGGTTGAAACTTGCACAGTTGACCTTAAGATAATACCAGAGTCCATAAGCAAGCAAACAAATAAAGAGAAATGAGAAAAGAAATAAAACAGAACTACAGAACCGAGCAGAGGGAATATCATAACCATAGAAAAGATAATATCAGACTAACACCACTGTATCACAGATTGCCAAAAGTAGCAGTGCAAGACCTTAACTTGATTGCTTATCCATTTTGTTTTTTGGGTAACAAAACAAGAAATCAAGGAAATAAGAAGTATTCAGCTCTAAAATTTCTAAGCATCAATTGATAAAACCCTACATTCAAATCCTGAAAACCCTAAAACGCAAAATTAAGAAAGACGGAGTATTTGGTACAGTGAAACTCACCGATAAATTCTGTAGAAGAGATTGACCGATATTAGAAAGTATTCCGACCGATCCACGCGAACCCAACCTTCGCAATGCCATCTTAATCTTAATAGCAGCGAGAAGAGAGATGCGCAGAGGAGTTGATAAACGAGAATGTTTTAATCCAATTCTATTAGTAATTACAGAAGCGGTGAGAACAATAATGGCTGGTTGCCCCCCGGGCCCAATCCAGAGCCCATATCTCTATTAAATATAGCTTAGAGCCCATAACTCTATTTATTACATTCTTTTTTTTTTTTTTTTCTACCAAAGAGTTAAACTAAAATGACATACATAAATTCTTTGCAAAAGAAAAAAATGACATACATAAATGCTTTTTTGTTTTTTATTTTTGCAAACTAAAACTAAGATAATTTATTTACTCAAATTAAAAAATTTCTTGAATAAAAAAAAAAATCTGTCTGAATTTTTTAACTATTAGTTGCCTATTCAAAATAAAGAGGATGGAAACCACAAGCACTTCGTAAGTAATTGTATTAAGAGTAGAGATAATACCTTTAATTTACAGTTTTATTTATTAAATATTATCTTAATCCAAATCAAATGACGTTTTGCATAACTAATATTCATAGCTATATATATATATATATATTACTTGTTAATCTACAATTTTATAATACTTAATCAATTGTTCTTGTTCCCAACCAATCTAGTTAATCCTCCGAGGTTGGCCAGTTGATCCTCGGCCTTGGCCGCCATCGCCACCGAAATTGCCATAGAAATTAAAATTGCTGCTGCCACCACCGCCGCCAAATTCAAATCCGCTGCCGCCAGCGCCTCCATAAAATCTAAAATCCCCGCTGCCAAACGAGGTGGACCCGCCCCATCCGAAACCGAACCCTCCACTATTTCCACTCCTGCCTGCGCCTGACCCAAAGGTAAAAGAGGTGCCATCAGGACCTGAACCTGTAGCCCAAAGATAATTCCAAGTCCCATCACGCGATGACCCAAACTCGGAACGGAAGTCCCATCTCGGGTTCTGGCTGTTGCCGCCTCTGCCTCTACTGCTACCTTGATCTGCCATCTCCTTGACTTTTTGGTTTTTGGTTACTGCTTATGCTTTCTTTCTTCCGGGAATCAAATGATCACACGACAGCAATTTATTGTACACAGGCCCATTCAAGTTTTGCAATTGGTTTTGGTCAGGTATTTTAATTTTTGCACTAAGCCCATTCTCAAACCCATGTAATTTAAGGACTTTTTATTTTTTCATAACCGGATATGTAATCCCTCTGGACCATAAAACATAAAAGTTTTTTACCCTTTCAGTATTTGTTGGTGATCGAACTTGTATTCTTACTCTTCTAAAAATTGAGATCGTTGACCACCTCAACTAACACCTTGTTAATTTAAGTAATCCAAGGAGTTTGGAGAGTTGAACTAAACCAATAAAATATAAGCCTTTGTTTGGATGGGAAGAGAGAAGGTTTATTAAGGTGGAATTTAATGATATTGTTTATATTTGGGAGGAATGTAAGATAAATCAGATTATTATATAGTTTAATTTGAAGGTACTAAAAAGTTGTAATAATATTCTTCATATAAAAAATGTCCGAATGCATAAATTTGATTTTATAATTTTATTAATTATCTTTCTAATTTCTTTAAATTTGCGAAAGATCTATCACGACACATTTCAATAATAACTATATTTCTCCTAAAAACGAAATGTGAAAGTGCAAAGTCATAGTTATACCCTTACAAAATTATTTCATTTTGATTGAGGGGTATAGCATTACTAAAATATAAAAGTGTAAGGTTATAATTGAACACTTACAAAATTCAAGAAGTCACAAGAAATTCAATGTTAAATTTATGTGTTAAGCTTATAAAAAAAAAATATTTTACATGTCAAAATTCATTAGACCTATTTTTTAATAAAATATTAAATCATGGATTGGGTATGATTGTGATAATATTAATACTCCATTAATTTGGCAAACCTCTCCAAAAATTATTGACATGCAATTGTGGTGAATCTTTGAATGGTTTATTAAAGTAAATTCAAGTAATTGAAATTTTTTAGAGTGGAGGAATACTTCTAAAATATATATACAAGATATTTCATAACCTACTGACTACGGAAGATTTTACCAATTACAAACATTTTATAAAATTTTAAATATTTTATACTCCAATTTCATAAGAACACACATCAAACAAGTATGAAGACAGTCGTAATGAAAATCAGATGTATAAAAATATAATTAACTGCTTCATGTGAATGTATAATTATAAGGTTGTTGATGGTGTCCGTATCATTCTTGGTGTCCAAGAACCTTGGGAAAGGCCTGAGTGCATCAAACACCATCATCACCTTCACCAAATGCATAACCGAAACCATAAGACCCGGGGCCTCTACCACCATAACCAAACCCAAAACAACCACAACCACCAAGGGTTCCTCCATAACCCGACCCATATCCAAAATTGCTTCCATCAGGCCCCGAACCCGTGCCCCAATCATAAGTCCAACTTCCTTCTGGGGCTGAGCCGCTCCCAAAATGGTATTCCCACCCTCCATCTTGGGTCGAACGGACTTGATCACCAAGGTTATTCCTGAACTTACCCTTTGTAGAGGATGAAACAGCAGCAGTAGCAGAGATATGACCTATAACAAGAGCAATTACTAGAAGAAATGTAGCTTTAAAACATTTCTCAAGTTTGACCGCCATTTTACTTTTTAGCACGCGAGAGAGGCAATATGACAATAACCTAATTTATTTAAATATTTTGCAATAATTTGCATGTATTGATAATTAGATATAACGGTAATCTGTCTTTTGCGTGCCTTACTAACGTGTCTCTCTCTGCAAAAGAAGCTCATACAATTCGTGAGTTGCATTTGCTCACACACACATTGCATGTTCATGAAAATATATGCTTAGCCAAACAAGAGATAATGCCAAAGATTAATACTAAGTGTGCAATTATAATATAAATTAAGGATAATTTTTTATTAAATTATAAAATTTTAACTAGGGTTTGCACCATAAAAAATACAATTAAGGTTGAAAGTGAAGGTGCTGCTAATTAAATGCTATTACAGAATAATTTATAATTTGGCTAATTAAATTGCTATTACAACCCAATTAGTTTAATAATCTGATGATGTGGAAGCACATCCTGTACCCTTCAAAAACAAGGAAGCAGCAATTTTATCAACCAACCAAACCAGTTTTCCATCTTTGGGCCAAACCATCTGGACTGGATTATTCCCTTTGGGCTTTTGGCCCATCATGGCATCCAAAAAGGAAGGTGCCACTTCATTCCCAGAGGCCACTATAGCCACATGGGCCGCAGCATTAATAACGGGAAGCGTCGTTGTTACTCTTTCTTTATAGCCGTCAATGGAGACGCATGAAACCCACTTGGACTCCTCTTCGTCTTCAGGCACAACGTATGAAGCCACGTAGCCATTGACCCCGAGATTCAAGAGGATGAGGTCAAATCTAGGACAGTCACTTAATGGAAGAGCCGGGACCGTCCGGTTTTTAACAAGTTGCCTGATGGAGGACTCGTAGCAATTGGCTGCCGATTCTCCCGGTACGCCGTGGCTCACTGGAAGAATGTGATCCGGCAATATAGGAACCTTCATCGTACGATAATAATTAAAAAATTTGATAAACGTGGTTACTATTATTATTATCAAATTAATAATTAAATTTCATTTGTGAACAATTATCATAATTTAGTAACAATTTATTACTATTTTGTATTCTTTTCCACATATTTTAATTATTTCAAATTGTTTTATTATATTGATTTGATGTATGGATAAACTTGTGCATTAGATATTTACAGTAACGAAGCTATGACTCTAGAGTCAGGGAAAATGTATAATATATATTTTTTTAGTATAATGAATTTAAAAATAAATTGAATTATGTAATAAAAATCTACCACTTCCATTCATAATAATAATAAAAAAAACTATTATATGAATTTTTTTAACAAAAACCACATTCCTCCTTTGCAATTTCATGTTTTGAAACCGCTGAATAATTAGCTCATTGTCAATGTTATAAAATACATCTCTTTCCATATAAATGATTAAATAATCATTCATCAAAATATCTTATGTTCTATTATACAATCAATTCTTTACAATCTTCATTGATGAAAATGCTCTCTCTACAATGTGGCAATAAAGTAAAACAAATGCTAATTTAATAAGTGAGTATATGAATGGATCAACAATTTATCTTTCGGTTTCAACTAACTATTCTCTCTTGGAAACATCAACTCAAATTTTTATATATTTAAAAAGACATTCAAACTAAATTAAGAAGATTCATAAATTTAAATATAACAATATGAGGAGTTCATTTTACAAATATATTGATAGTTGCTTAGAAAAAAAATTTCAAGTTTGGTAATTGCTTCTCCTAACTTTTGAGACAAAGTTTCATAAAATATAGTTTTCCACTTGTTTACACACGTATTTTGAAATTTCAAACTATTACCATAAAAGTAAAGTTGGACTAAACATCATTTAAAAAAAAAAAGTTGGACTAAATATAAATATTATAGCTCTATTTGGTAAAATTAACCATTTTAGTAGTTATTAACTATCAATTGGTTTATTAATATTGTGGATTTCTCCGTAAATCGTTAACTATATATTCCTTTTGTACCAAAATATAAGTCATTTTTTAAAATTTTGGCACAATTATTAAGAAAGCTATTAATTCTCCAAAATTATAATAAAATCATGGTTAATTTGACCAAATTATTCTTTATCTCAAAATCAATAGTTAGTTGTAAAGTTATTTATTGTATCTAATATAAATAAGGGTAACATTGAAAAAATATCATTTTTTACCTCTTAAAACACTCAAAACGACTTATATTTTAGCACACAGAGAATGTTAGATTTTGATAAATTGATCTAGACTCCTCTAATAAGACCCGGATTATGCTAGAGTGGCCCTCACAAGTGTGCCATGTCTCCACACATGCTAAAATCATCAAATATTAAAGAAAAGAACATTTTATAATCTATTTTCTAAAAGTCTAAATGGTAATACATACGCCATGCTATACGTTAAACGTTATTTCGGAACAAGGATTAAGATAAATTAGCTTGGTATAAAGGAAAGTTTTGGATTTTTCTATTTGTCCTCCTATATTTTGGTCCTATCCTTACCCACCAATTAGATTTTCAAGCTTGTGGTTGCTAGATATCAATGTCATGTGCGTTATTATGGCTGCCCTATTCATTCAACTCAGGAAGAACAAAAACAAAACAAGAGAACACCAATCTCTCTACGCAATAAACATTAATTTGCGAAGGAGAAAGAACCTTAGAGAGGAAATATTCTTTAGTTTGCCAATAGATGCTGTCTGGGTGTCTTTTGGGAACCACATTCTCTTCAGCCCAAAATACATACCATTTCCTCCACTCCACCGTTTTCAAGTACGGTGAATTTGTTAGCTTCCTGCATTGCATGCACATTATGAACATATTAATTAATTGATTTCTAGAAAAAGAAAATAAAAGACCACTAACAGATACACCAGAAAAATATAATTAAAGTGCTATTGAAATAGAGATATACATACTCCAAGCGTTTTGGTAAATCGCCTCCAGAAAGAACAAGGGAAAAAGAGCCTTTCTCGTTTATACAAGACTCTGAAATTTCATTGATATAATCAGCTAGTCCTGAAGATAATTCTTCACTGCTATCAAACAACCTGATATCTGGGACGTTTTTCTTTGCCATTTATGTCTTTATTATTAGTTTACTCTCAATCCAAACATTTTCGCACGCACGTATATATATAGGAATCAATGAGCAAACGGTCATGCTTTTTTTGTACTCGTTGCAAGTAAATGTAATTTAATTTGTATATATAATTTTCTATTAATTTTTTTATATATAAATTATAATGTTATTAACTGTTTATGTTTATATATAAGAGAATGGAGGAATATTGAATTATGAAACTTTTTAATCTTATTAGTTGATTACAATTATATTAAAAATATTATTAAGGATAATTTAGTCCTATTCTAATTAGAAAATTTTTAATTTTACTGGTATTTTATTGGTTGATTAAAAATATGAGTAAGTGTAATTTAGTCCTATTCTCATAAAAAAAAACTTTTAATTACTTGGCATTGATTTATTTATTTATTGTTTTCAATTTCTTTTTTAAATGCACTGCATGAGTTTTTAATTTTTAGGATCTTTGACGATTTTGTAGAGCTTCTTATTTTTAAAGTGAATTTATTAATTGTTATGATTCTTATATTAATTATGAATATAGAAAGAGAATAATCAATTTCAAGCAAAGATGTTTTTTTAAAGTCTAATTTTTTATTTTACTAATACTAATGTATTACTTCCAATAATAGTCCATTCAAAACCATAAATAAATAAAATTGTTCTTTCTAGAAAAACTAATCTTTTTATTTATTTTTCATAAAAAATATTTAATCATTCAGATTCACTGCACGATATCACAATTTATGAGATAATGTAATCACCATTAATGTTTTTTTAACAAGGATTTACAAATTAGTGTGTGTGTAATTAAAATTTCATTCTTCATATTTAACGAGCATGGAACCAAGTAATACTGCTAGCTCCTCGAGCGGGGCAGTGCTACAAAATATAAGAGTCCAAACTATGTCTGCAACTGAAGTATACCAAATTTCTTACATAAGTAATAAAGGATTGTTGCAATCCAATATAAAAAATCAACCTGCTGATTAAAAAATATTAAATCAACCTACTATTATAAAAATAATAGGTAAACATTACATTAAATATGGAAGAATCAACATGTACTTGATAACTATGACCGAAAGAATCAATTGTAGAAAAATCAATTTATTGATTGAAGAGTATTAAATTTATTACAAAAATGATAGATAAATATTACAATCAAATATAGAAAAATCAATATGTACGTAACAACTATGAATTAAAGAGTTAGATATATATCAATTAATTATCCATAGATTTATTATAAGTAATACTGTTATCTCTCTATGTAGCAAGCGATCCATTAAATAGTAATAGTCTTCTTTTCACAAGGTATGAAGTGATATTGAATCTAAAGCTCCATTTGTTTCCTCAATTTATTTCTATTTGTTTATTAAAATATTGAAACTTAGTTTAAAAATATAAAAATTTATCATTTGAATCGTAAAATAAATAATTGATTACTAATGCTAAAGTAAAGTCTTCAAAATATTGTTTACAGAGAATCTAAAAATTTTTTTATAGGAAAAATTAAATAAATTCTTGATATCCAAGAAAATAAAATTTATTTGATGAAACAAATAAACTCTGTGATGATTTTTCCACTAGAGAAAGTATATATAATTAATTATTTATTAATTAATAGTTACACAAATTAGATAAAGAGTAATATATGAAAGATAGTATTTTCAAAATATGTCTAGTGTCCTTGTAGAGAAAATGTGGGGGTTGTTTATAACTAGGATGTAGCTGTTGGGCATGGGGATGGAAGCAAAACCGAGTATTTTAGGGTAGTCGTCCACGTCTCCCCCTCCCCTCGTGCTCCGATCCGTTTAACAAGAGTACGAGATCATAAATATATTGTGAAACTGATGCATATAGTAATATTACTACCTTTAACATATATAGGTAGGTTACGAGTATAAGTTTCTCGGTACCTAGTACTCGTTATTTGCTATATTAAATGAGTTTGGTCACAGATACCTAGGATATTTTACCCATTGTTAATAAAAAATGTATTTCAAATAAATTTAAATTTGGATAGTTTAAAATTTATAAATACTCTACCTGATTAAAAAATAGTTTAAATGAGCTTAAGATGAGTATAAATAGTAAAATTCTAAATGAGTTTAAGATGATACTAAAGTCAATGGTTTTTGAGGACTAGTATGAGTAATAAACTTCTAATGGATACAGAAACTACTAGCTTAAAATTTACGGATACTGCCCTGTTGCATGTTATTTGTATTCGTTGAATTTTAGATATTGCAAGTAAAATTATTTAATTTATATTTATAATTATTTATTATAAATAATGTTACTATGAATAGTTTACATTTTAGAAAATAGAAAAATATATATTTTATGAAATAATAAAATAAAAAATTCGACAATTAAATAATTTGTTAAGAAAATAATATATTTATAATAATCAACTATATTAATTATGTAAAGAACAATAATATATACTAAAAATAAAATAAATTTGACAAGCAAACTGTAAAAATTACTTATCAATCAATTTAATTTTCTAAAAAATTACTTACAACAAATTACAAGAAAATAATATATTTATAATAATAAAATGTTTTTATAATTTGACAAGCAAATGTAAAATTACTTATCAATCAATTTAAATTTTTATAAAATTACTTATCAAAATTACTCCGCTCCTCATAAAACTTACACCTCGACCCATTCATACACACCAAACCAATCAATAAATGGTTTTTTTAGAACTTGTTATTGTTTTCTCTTTTTCGAATTAATAAATTATTTTTAATTAATTTTATATATGGTTAAGGAAATATTTCCTCCAAAAGAAAACGGAATACTGCAATCGTTTGTGCATCTCAAGTGGAAAACGTGACTGATAATTATCTCTCGTTTTTTATGATGATAAAATAAAATTCCATTTTGTTATTTTGAAAAAAAAAAATTGCAGAGGTTCAGCGTAGTTTGTTTTGATAAAATGAACTCAGTTATGGGCCTGTAGCAGATACTGCACAAGCCAGAAAAGACTTATTTGATTATTACATGCTTCTTGCTCATAGAAGCACCCGTTACAGTCTAGATATACATATATAATCACTCTGAAAACTAGAGAAGAGAACTAACTATTAGCTTGAAGTCTTCAAGGTCAACAATACCATTCCCATCTCCATCCATGGAATCAACAATTTCTTGACAATCCTCCAAAGACAATTGCAATTCCTTGTTTCCAATAACTTCATATAACTCCTCTGCAGTGACAGCCCCATCACCTCCACTGCTAAGAGCTTCGAAGGCAGCTTTGAGACAGTTTGCAAGCCCCCCAACTTCCATGTTCTTAGTGTTCATCTCCAAGAATTCTTGTATGCTTAGCAACCCATCTCTGTTCGTGTCTCCTTGTTGCATCATCGTCCTTACATCTTGTTCGCTAGCGTTGTAACCTAGCGATGATAATATGCCACCAATCTCAGCTGCTGTGATATTGCCATCACTGTCCGAATCGAAGGCTCTAAACGCCTCCACCAGACTCATGACTTGGCTCAGTGTCTCAGTTTCTGCTGAGAGTGATTCGGATTGAGCCATGAAGATCCAATGCTTGTTTTAGAGCAAGATATGGAAACGCATGCCATGGAAGTATAAATAGAAGAGCGAAGAATCCAAGATAAGATATTGATTCTTTTGCATTATAATCTACTTTGCTTTGCCTTTTTTTTTGTTGGAATAACAATCTGTACAAAAAGAGAAAGTAGATTATTCTTATTCTTTAGAGATATTAAATTCTACCATGTCAAACTCACAGAAGGAGAGATTAGATTGGCTAGTCTGTTTTAAAAATTGTAATTTGGTGTTCAGTAATTTAATCGTAACCAAATATGCTTATCTATTGTTTTCTGGAGGAGGAAGCTCAAATTGCCAGAAAAAAAAAAAAAAAAACCAGAGAAAAAAAAAAAAAAAAAACAAAAAAAGCACACAATAGTAGAAAAAAAAAAAAAAAAAAGCAAGTAGAAAAAACAGTTATATGAAATGTAATTTTGAGGATATGATTGTTTTTTTTTTTTTTTCTTCGTAGAAACCATCCAGCATCTGAAGTTCATTGGTCTAATTAATCTCGATTAATGCCGAGCAGACTCACAAATGGGGTAAAGCGCTCCCTACTAAGTTCTAAAAACTTTATATCTAAAGCTTGAATTCGAGACCTCTTGTTAAGGATACGATTGTATTTTTATTGATTCTTTTACTATTAGAAGGTTAAATTAGAAATTTAATTTCTAGTATTGTTATTAAGTTGTTACATTATAGAATATTTCCCTTTTTCAATTCATAAGGAGTTCAATTAGTTTCTTAAAATTTTACATTTTACCCTTATAAAGTATCCAGTGACGGAGCCAGTGGGGTTCTGAGGGGACCGACCCCGACCTGATCAACTTATTGGCATAATGGTTAAAACTCTGCTACTTCAATCATTGGTTCTGAGAACAACCCACGATAGTTGAAGGTTTCTTTGTTTTTTTAGTTTTTTTTTTTTTAGTTCAATTATTCATCATTGGTTCTGAGATCAAATGTTGATAGTTGCAGTTTTTTTTTTTTTTTTTTTTTTTGCCAGTTTCTTTTTTTTTTTTTTCCTTTTTTTTTTTTTTTTTTTTTTTTTTTTTTTTTTTTTTTTTTTTTTTTTTTTTGGTAAGAAGTTTAGTTTTTAGTTCAATTACTTTAATTTTTTCTGTATTATAAATTGACTTAATTTATTATTATAATAAGCACACAATATCCAAATTTTTCATAAATTATTTCTTATACCCTGTAGAAGAATGATTTTGTGCTGTCCCTTAACGCTTCTTACTAATTCTTTTTTTTTTAATTTTTTTTTTTTTTTAGGTTATTTAATGTTACATCCTTTTTAAATTTTAGTTTTAAATTTAATTTCATTGCATGAATATATATAAAATTCATGTTAATATTAAAATATACAATAGAATATAAATTTATATTTTAATTTTTTAATTATCGATTATTTAATTAAAACTTAACAACTCAAACAAATTTTAGAATTTTAAATTCATTGAATAATCACATGAAAGAAGAAATGAATTTAATATTATAATTCATAATTCTATTTTAATAGTTTTTAGAAAATAATATGAAATTGAATTGATCGAATTTTTTTTTTTTGAGTATGAATTGATTGAATTTTAAAATTACAATAAAATAGTTAACATTTTAAATATTAATAATTATTTTCATTGTAATTTCTAACATGTAAATTTTAGGAAATTATTTCTTTCCTATTGAAAGTCATTATGTATACTAAAAAAATCTCTATTAGTTTTTGTCATTTATAATATTTTCATTAAAAAATTTTGACTATATGTAATATATTTATTTACGTAATTAAATTAATTTTAAATGCTTTTTTAATCAGATTTAAATACTTTTTTAATCAGATTTATTTTTTATTCGTCGTGAAATGATAAATAAATTTTCCGCCCCCTTACGAACAAATTTTGGCTCGGTCACTGAGAGTATCAAATTGCTCCAAATTTAAGCTCAAGATCCAGAAATTGTGGATCAACAGAATGCGACTGTTTAAGTCAATTAGCACTTCTGAAAAAAAGATTCCTAACTTTTCTACAAGGAAACTGTATCTAATTACAGAATTAAAATTAGTTTGGTGCATGATCAAGCAGCAGCCTATTAACTTTTATATCCTTTTGCTGCACTGCAACCCACATGATAATTCCTTAAGCACACGCTTCAATTTCCTCTGCAAAATAAATACACATAATGAAGCTCAAAAAATAACAGTAATTGAGTAAATAATTACTAATTAAAACAAAAGAGAATAGGTGTAAGGTAATGCCATTTACACAGAAGCTAGAAGCACTTTTGCCTCTTGAAGCCGCCTTCCTTTTATTATGAAATTCATCATCTCCGCCATACTCTTCTGTTGCAATTCTCTCATACCCACATTGCCTTTGCTTTCTTCGAAAAATCCTCTCAAGAGATGTTTGAATCTTTTCTTGGGCACTCAACCATTTCCATTTCTGTTTCTGGATGCATTTTCATTTTTCCTAAGATACAATTTCAAAATACAAATTGAAAAAAAGAAACAACTTACTTCAGATTTAGGCCTGGATGAGTTCCTTCTGGGCTGCCATTCTTGTTTATGAGAACTACTGTCCCTTAACTCGCGGGCATAGGCTAGAAGCTCAGCCCGGCGATTGTCACATCGTATTCTTTTGGATGATGGATTGGACATAGCCATTTTTTTATTCGGACGCCTTCTTGGTAATTCTATATATACAGTGATAATAACACCATTGTTGTTATAATTTTCCCTGGAAATTTGACTGTTGATAACTTTCCTTGCCTCTTTCTTGGCCATGGATTTGGATTTTTTTTTTTTTTTTTTTTTTTTAGATGAATCGAGACAAGCATAAGTAAACTAAAATCTAAACAAAACTATTTTAAAATCATCTAAAATAATACAAAATAAACTTTACTAACACTCATGTTAACTTTATTATAACATTCCATCTATTTAGACATGCCCACTGACTAACCCAACAATGAAAATGTCCACCCATTCGATATTTCCTTCAAGCAACTACAGCTTCAAATATTTCCTCTGCCTATCTTATAAACACACATAAATGTAGCTTACAAAAAAATAACATAATGAGTAAAATAATTTACTTAATAATCAAACACATTTGAAATACAAAAATTCTGAGGACAATAGGCTCATTTGTAAGGGTTAATGCCATTTCTCTACAGGAAGACTAGGTATCGACGGAAATTATCAAGTGGACTACTTTTAAGATGCGTGACCTAGGCACATAACCATCAATTTATTATGAATCATGTTCATCATTTCCTTACTACGTGCAACAGACATCATACCTTCATGTGTGTGCCAAAAGATTCACTACGCATAAGCATTAATAGTCCTTCAAAAGACATCTTGGCCTTTGCTTTCTATCTGAGAAGCCTAAAAATCCTCCTTTTCAAGAATGTTGAATCTTTCTTGAGGGCACTCAACATTTCCATTTCTGGTTTTGGATGCATTTTCATTTTCCTAAGGATTTACAATTCTTACAAAATTACACAATTTGAACAAAAAAAAAAAAAAAAAAAAGGAGGAAACAAGCTTACTTCCAGCAGATAGGCTGGATGAGTTCCTTTCTGGGCTGCCATTTCTGTTGTGTGTTTGTCAATGTATCAAACACTACTTGCATTCACTCTCCAGACCCCTTTTACCAAACTTTCGGGAGCGGGCAATTTTCTCCCTTAGAACTTCAGTTCCCTCTCTATTTGGGTCGTTTGGGATTTGTTGCACATCGTAATTCTTCTATTTGCAAAATCATGCAAATATGGATGGGGACATAGCCATGATTTTTCTTTTATTCGGTACTACGCCTTCTTGGTAAATTCTTTATATACAGTGATACATAAACCACCCCATTGTTGTTATAATTTTTCCCTGGAAAATTGACTGTTGATACACTTTCCTTGCCTTCTTTCTTGGCCATGGACTTTGATTTTTTTTTTTTTTTTTTTTATAATAAGTAACAAACAAGCTATAAGTGCATTTCTGTTTTTTTTTTTTTTTTTTTTTTTTTTATAATAAAGAACAAGAAGTCTATAAGTGCATTTCTGTTGTGATCTGGTAACCAAAACGTCTATAAGTGTGCTTTAAGGAAATGTTCAAGCGACAATTGTGCATGGGCCTTCGCATATATACAAAGTCCAATACGTTTGGATATTGGGCTTGGGCCTCCATTGGGTAAGCAATCAGCCTTGGTGAACTGCTAAACTTCGTATATATTAGCAGAGTATGAAAAATAAAGGTAATAATTATTTTATTAAAGAAGGCTTATTCTTTATAATAATTATATGAATAAGATCTTTAATATTTGCAAATAATGAAGAAAGAAAAATATTTTTAAATCTATAATTTTTATTCTGATAATTTAAAACAAATATAACGTTCAAAACTGTATAAATGCAGATATATGTTTAGAGCCATAGAGATGCAAATATAATATTCAAAGCCATATAATTTTTATTTATTTGTATCTTTAGAATACTCCTAAATAAATATTACTATATAGTATAAACCCAAAAATGATATTTTACAAAAAGAGCTAAGCCCTGTGATAGCAATTCAAAGGGATAACCTAATAATTGCTATTACATGATTTAAGAAAACATTAAAAATACAAAAAATAGTATTAAAATTTTTTACTAATAATTTTATGCTCATATAATGAGAGTATATAGCTATATATAATTCCTAAAAAAATCATATTTTCCATTATTTTTCCTAAGAAAAAAAAAATAAAAGAATGATCCTAATAATCATTTCCCTTGTCACCTAGAATTCTAGAACTCTAGAAGTTCCCCTTCTAATCAAATTAATTTTTTTTTTTTTTGTCATTTTTCCTTTTGCAATAACAATCATTATTCATTATTATTTCTTTGTCATCACTTTGCCCTAATAAATATGCAAATTTCAAGTGCCAACTTTGAAAATTTGCTAAGCACTATATGTATCTGTATACATTAATTATAAGTTCATTGAATTGAACACTTTGGCATAAAAAAAATTAAAAAAGGGCATTTAATTTGGACCCATCATTAGTTTTATGGTTTCAGCAATCACTTAGTATTTTTTTTTTTTTTCTCATATTGAATGATTCTTTTTTATTTGCTTTTGCACATAGAAACCCATTTGGCCAATCAGCCATCGGTTTGCTTTTAAGTGTATCTGATCCAATCTTTTTGAGATTTGTCATTTGTTTGACCATAAAAATATCTTTGTTTGAATTAAAAAATTTTCAGTACATATTATAATTGGTGAAACCTAGTCCTATTGGTCTTTTGGTCATTATACATTTTTTATGAAAAGAATAGTTAGAAATTATTAATATATAGAGAAGAATCTTTTATAGAATATGTGTAGGAAAAAAATGGTACAGCCCCTAGACTTATTTTAACTCAGATTTTAATTAAATAATAATATTTAATTCAGTAATAAGTTTGTGAACTCTATGTGCTCTTTCGTTATGTTTTCACTTTTCATTTCAGATTAGAAATATTTTTTTAAAAAAATTAAAATATGTAAATAATGTCTAGCTTGAGTTATAAAGCTAATGTTTTGAGACTGACTCTTTCTCCTTATTTCTATAATTGCTTACTAAAAATTTGTAATATATATTATTATTACAAAATATATCATATACAAAAAAAAAATTATTAATTTTTTAAGATGAATTTTAATTTTTATATTATAAAATAAATATTTGATTGCGTAAATTGTAATATTAATATTTTATTATGTGAAGTGGACATTATTATGTCCCAAATGAATCTGCTTTATCCAGACAAAAATAAAAATAAAAATTTACAGAAATAAATAATAAATGAAAGGTTCAGAGAACCACGTGGGTGGAAACAGTTAACATGGAAACCAAAACCACAGATTTAATTTTATTTTTATTTGTTTAAAATGAAACTTGCAAAATAAGAAAATAAATAAAAAAAATAAGTTTATATTTAATTGCATGGTCTAAACTGGCTGGATGGAAGTTAATAAATCATGATCCAGTTATTTTCTTACTTATTTGACATTTAATTAGGCTATTTTCAACTATAAAAATCTCAAAAGTGTTATTTTGATCGACTAAAATTTTCAATTAATTAATAAAAAAGTGATTGGATAAAAAATTTTTGAGACGAAGGGGAAAAATAGTATAGAAATTCCATTTTTTTGCTTAAAAACAAATAAAAAGAAAACAGTATATTCTACAACGATTCCCTCCAAACATTATCTTTTTGCTATATTTAGCATTTAAAATAATAAATATAAAAAACAATGATGCCCATTTTTCAGTACAATCACATCACCACATTGTGAGGAGCAGAGAAGAGTAGTAATTTTTTTCTGTTGTTTTGTGTTTTGTTTCCAAAAAAAATTTTGCAATTTCAAATAATAAAGCAAATACCCATTTTTTAGGCCCTCAACAAACCTATGGCTATGGACAATATTAATTATACCAAAACAAAAAAAAAAAAAAAAAAATTTATCTTTTTCATATTATTTACATTTAAAAATAATAAATATAAAAAAAACAATTATGCCATTTTTTCCACTACAATCACATCACCACATTGTAGAGCAGAGGAAGAGTAGTAAATTTTTGTTTCTGTGTTGTGATTTTGGTTTATCAAAAAAATTTTGCAATTTCAAATAATAAAGCAAATACCAGATTTTTTAGGCCCTCAAACAAAACCATTTATGCTAAAGGACCAATTATAATTATACCAAAACAAAAAAAAAAAAAAAAAAAATAATATTCAATCTTGAAAAAATAAGAACCTCTACGAGCAACAAAGACATGGCTCAAACCTGTCCACTTAAAGGCCCAATTTCACTTTATCCCCTTCAGTCTCTATTAGCCGCCCCCAGGTGGCCACTTCTTTTCTTCTTCTCCTCTTCTATTTTTATTTTTATTTATTTATTTATTTATATTGATTAAATTAAGACCACGCCCTTTCAATGTGTTACTCCATCCCCTTCATTGGTTTACTAAGGTTGTGAATGCATACTAATACACCACCCTGGTTTATGTCCTGTTCGTTTAAATGTGTCTGTTGCCAATCAAATAAAAGGAAAACCCGGATTAAGTTAACTCGTAAGGTGGTGTGCTGGTTATGGAGGACTTATAATTAAAGCACTACGCTGAAGGAGAGGAAGATTACCTAAGAGAGAAAAAAAAAAAAAAAAAAAAGAAATATATATCAATCTTGAAAAAATAAAAAACAGAAAAAACAAAAGTTGGCTCAAACCTTCACCTAAAGGCCAATTTCACTTTACCCCTCAGCTCTCTATTAGCCGCCCCCAGTTGCCACTTCTTCTTCTTCTTCTCCTTCTTCTATTTTTATTTTATTTTATTTTATTTTATTATATTATTAAATTAGTGACCACCCCTTCTAATTTGTTACCCATATGACTAAATCACCACCTTATCTTCTTTATTTTTTGTGTCTGGTTTGCTGCTAAAAATGGGTTGGGTCGCCCCATGTTTCTATCGGGTTGGTTGGCCATTGGGATTCCCATGCGCCACTTCTCACTTCCTCATATTTGACCCCTTTCGCTGCTTGCCCTTGCCTTTGCTTTCGCTTTACTAATTTTAACTCCTAACTTTTACTAGTTAGTTCCCAATTAGCTGTCCATCACTTGTACTATTTCTCTATTTGCAATTTGCTAGAATCTTCTAACTAATCTAATCTAATCTAATCTTTTTATTAAATTCATGAAATTAACTAAAAAATTATAAAAAGACTTACGCAAGATATCTAGACCCGTGTCTGTTTTAACAGTCTATCTATTTAATTCATTTTACAAGTTTAAAAATATATTAAAAATAATAAGTCAAGAGTTATAAGAAAGTTAAGAACGCTTAATTACTTATTATGGAATTTTTGATATTTTCTTTTGTAGTAATTTATGTAATTTACAAAGTTGTACATCGATCCAATTGATAAACAAATGTTGAGTACTAGAAAACATTAAATCTACTAGAGTATACTTAAAAAATTAATTCAAAACACTAATTCATAATAAAATAAAAACAAAAATAAAATAAAAGTGTGGATATTGAAAGAAATATTAGCTCCATTCTGATTCAATTCTTGCAATACCTTCTTTCTCGTGTTAGGCTTTTTCTTTAATTATGAATTATTAATTGCTTTATTTTAATAATACTGGGAATAATGGAACATAAATCACTTTTGAGTCTTGACTATGAACGATCATTATTCTTCAACCAAAACTCAAACTAGGTCAATGTAATGTTCAAACACGATTCCATATTACTTAATAATTAAAAGTCTCCAACCTTACTTAACATATGATAATGAGTTTAATTTATTATAATAAGCTTAATGTTTGTAATAATGTTTTATTATTTTTTTATTATAATTTGTTTTTAAATAAAACTCTTCCAACACCCATAAGTTTAACATTTAAAGCTTTGAAAACTTCTCAACAATGCATAGTCATCTTTAAATTGGTAATTAAAGCTAACTCTAATTGTTTTATTTAATAATATATCTTTTATAATTACAATAGATATTTTTTTTTTGTCTTATTTCAAAAATATCTTCAAAAAAAAAAAAAAAAAATCTAAGAATTACATACACATCCCATTCAACTTTATTACTCGGCCTCCGTTAAAACTTCTTACTTAAAAAAATATATATTTGTTTTAAAAAACAACTCAAATATCAAAGGATGAATCCAAAATATAATTTTTAGGTAATAAACTTGCACATACAATTGCTAAAAATCTATGAAATAATGAAGATAATGGGAGCAATAACAAAAATAAAAATATATATATTTTTATGGAAAATTTAATGGGATAATGGAGACAAAATGCCCCGATTGCCTCATTGTATTCAAATTGATTAACATAAAGATGCGTATCAAACACAATATATTTGGATTTTTTTTTTTTTTGGCCAATATTCAAAATTAGTATAATTTGTGGCCAATTTTGCTTATTTTTCCATTAAAGTCGACCCCACGTGCGATTTGCAATAAACTATAAATGACAAGCTAAGTTAATGGAGTCTTTGGTGTAAATTAATTAACTCATTTGTAATTTCCTTCTGGGGGAGTTGCCATTTGCCTACCTTACCAAATACAAAGAATGCCTGAAAGCACTGTGACTGCATGTTGCCTCGAAGGATCCATGCAATTGCACCTAATTATCTACCTTTTTTTTTTTTTCTCTTCCCCTTTTTAACCTATCTTTTCCCTCTCTCTCTCTCTCCGACTCTTCTGGTAATTTCATTATTCAAGTAAATAAATAATTATTTACAGTAATGCACTCTATACTCATAAAAATGTTAAATCAATGTGAATTATGAATTGGCATCGAATAGTGTGATGTTATCACTGATATAGAAATATTAAAAAATGTAGGCAAAAAAATTAAATTTCAAATTATATCAACTAAATTTTCTTACTTTTTATGAAAATAAAAATAAGTTTATCTCGTGGAATGGAGAGAATATATTTTTCTGTGATAATGATATTCATAATTTATGATTATATTTCTAAAATGCAATTTATAAATATAAAAAATCATGACGTTAGCCAAAATAGCGAGATTATAAATACTGAATTTACATTTAGCAGTTAGATTTTTTTTTTTTTTTTAGAAGTATTAAGAATTTTGATTGCATTGAAATGTCATAAATGAGTATTTTTTTATTGGATAATTTTTTTTCTCCATGTCATTTTCTAAATTAGATAAGGTTGAAAATTACTAACAATCCAATTTCCTATTCACAATACAAATAGAAAATATCTATGCTATGAAACAAAACTTTTTTTTTTTTCTAAAAAAAAAACAAGGTGGTGGAAGTACATTTGCGTCTGTGGCTGCAGCCTCAACCTATGCCCTCTTGGCTCATAGGAACCACTCGAGCCAGGGGGTCCATCTACTCTCCCCACGCCAGTCGACGCCAGCTAAACCATTTTTTTTTTTCTTTTTCTGTTATTCTAAAAAACTAAAATAAAAAATAAAAAAATAAAAAATAATAGTTAAAGACTAGCTCCTTACGATCCAATCAAACGGGCCGCATTCCTCCCTATTACACGTTCCTGCAAGCCCAAACGAGCCTATATAAAGCCTATGCAATTGCCTCTTTCTTTTCGCCTTCAGTCCATGAAAGAAATTCAAACCTCTGAAATATAGAAAAAGTGGAGGAAAAAAAAAAGAAAAAGAAAATCTCCATTTCTTCTAAATAAACGAGCAATTCTTTCTCTACTCTGTAATGGCGGCCTCCGTCGACAACCGCCAGTTCCACCTCGAACCTGCCTTAAACGGCGTCGTTCGCCCATTCAAATCTGTCCCAACCCACCGGTCTGATTCTCCGGTTCGAACCTTCAATTTCGTCCAAGATTTCAACCGGTCCAACAAAAAACCTTTTCCTGCAACAATGGAGGTGGATGATTCCTCCAGCGACGACGAAGAAGCTAATGATTATAACGATCTAATCCGCAAAGGAAACAGCGAACTAGAGCCGTCGATTTTCGATCAACGAGATGAAGGAACGGCTGACAACTGGGTTGAGCGTAACCCGTCGATGATCCGACTCACAGGAAAACATCCTTTCAACAGTGAAGCACCTTTAACCCAGCTCATGCACCACGGGTTCATAACTCCTGTTCCCCTCCATTACGTTCGAAACCACGGTCCCGTTCCTAAAGCGAGCTGGAAGGACTGGACCGTGGAGATATGCGGTTTGGTTAAAAAACCGATCCGGTTCACTATGGACCAGCTGGTTAAGGAGTTCCCTAGCAGGGAACTACCAGTGACCCTGGTTTGCGCGGGCAATAGAAGAAAAGAACAAAACATGGTTAAACAAACCATAGGTTTTAACTGGGGCGCTTCAGGAATATCGACTTCAGTGTGGCGCGGTGTACCATTACATTTGGTGCTGAAACGGTGCGGGATCTACAGCAAGAAAAATGGGGCCCTCAATGTGTGCTTTGAAGGAGCGGAGGATTTGCCAGGAGGCGGCGGGTCCAAGTACGGAACCAGTATCAGCAAGGGGTACGCGATGGATCCATCGCGTGATATCATATTAGCTTACATGCAAAACGGTGAGCTTTTGGCTCCGGACCATGGTTTCCCTGTTAGGATGATAATTCCTGGTTTTATTGGGGGACGTATGGTTAAATGGTTAAAAAGAATTATTGTTACCACTCAAGAATCAGACAATTACTATCATTATAAAGACAACAGAGTCTTGCCTTCTCATGTCGATGCCGAGCTTGCTAATGCCGAAGGTAATTAAACTTTTCCTTTTTCCTTTTTCCTTCTTCATTTTAATATTTTTTTTTAAAAAAATTATAACTAGTATTTTTATTTTTTTATTGCAAGAAAAAAAAGGAATAATGTAATTAATGTTGTGTTATATCTATTTATGCAGCATGGTGGTATAAGCCGGAATATATCATCAATGAGTTAAATATAAATTCAGTTATAACGACGCCGTCTCATGAAGAGATCTTGCCTATTAACTCCTGGACGACCCAAAGGCCATACACGTTGAAGGGTTACGCATATTCTGGTAATTTGAATAAATCTTATAATAATAATAATAATAGATTTTCGATGAATTTTCCATTTTTATGGAAAAATATATGTCAAATAATATATGTTAGAAAGAGGCATAATTTTGCTTTACGGATTTTACTCACGACCCTTCCTCTTGTTCACTAAAACTTTATTGATTCTCATTCCTTATATAGGTTACCTAAAGCTTTAGGCCTATGAATATAAATTTCTAGTTTTGGCTCTGGTAATAATATAGAATTTATAAATGAATTCCTCTGTATTAACGATATTATTGCTTTTTCTTGAAAAAGAATATATTTATTTTTTTAAGTATTGAGGAAAAAGGATCTCGATCTGAATCTATTATCTAATCGTATATGCATTTATCATTAAGCTATATTTTATTCTATGAAAAATAGAAATTTTAATTGATAAATGAGGTGGATCTTACATAAATTAATTAATCACTTTATATATGTAAGAACACATTTTGATTAATAGATGAGGCCGGTCTTATAATTAAATTAATTAGACAATTTATAGATTTGCTTGAAATGATATCTTATATCTTTCCGATGCACAAGATACTAAAAATAAGGAATAGGTTGCATAAATTTTGGTTAGACAAAAACAAAACCAGAATACTAAATATGAAGCAAATTGAAACTTATGTTTTGTAATGGCAAGTTGCAAATGCAAACCAAGTTAACTAAAAGTGTCAGGTTTTCTAAAGAGTCCTTCCCCGGAAAGTAGCTTTCTGATTTGCTAAATGCATAGGTGCTGGGAAGAAAGTGACACGTGTGGAGGTGACTATGGACGGTGGTGAAACGTGGCAAGTCTGTAACTTGGACCATCCAGAGAAACCAAACAAGTATGGCAAGTACTGGTGCTGGTGCTTTTGGTCACTTGAGGTTGAAGTGCTTGACCTTCTCGGTGCCAAAGAAATTGCGGTTCGAGCCTGGGATCAAACCCTCAACACCCAACCCGACAAGCTCATTTGGAACGTCATGGTATGTTTAGATATTTTATTTTTTAATTAATTACTACTTATTTATTGATTAAATTAAATAAAGTTCTCAAATTTTATATTGAAAAAAAAAAGCTCAGTATGACTTTACATTTTTTTATGGTATAATAATTTTTAATATCCAATATTATTTTTAATTAAAATTTTTAGCACTTGTTTAATAATATGGTGAAAAATAAAAACAATTTAGAAAATTTAAAATTAGCTAACAAGAACAAGTGCCAAGTTGTGACCACTTGGGTATAATGAAGGCGACATTAGAGTCCTATTGGCGTATGTTACAGCTTAAGAATCTAAAAATTTCGACGTACCACAGCCCCACAGAGTTTGGAACTGTGTGCCTGCCCCTGGAAGCAACTGTAACTTTCACCGACGTACCCCCTTGGTGCATGCATACCTCAGCCTTGAATTCCTACGAGGTTCAATTTTGTCAATGATTAAGAGTGTTAGATTGAAAAAAATTATTACTTTTTGAAGTTTGAATATTATTTTTTGAACATAAAGAAATACTAATAATTACTATTGAGTTTAGCCATTTTACATGTTAATTATTGACATTGAAGTGGACCACTAATTTGTCTTTCTTTTAGATATTAAACAAAGAAACGGCGTTTAATAATTTTTTCCTAAAAAAATAATTTAATTAATAATTTAATAATATTAACCCATTTAGATTTTTAACACTTTCATATATTCAGACTTTACTTTTAATATCATTTTTAATTTAAAAATTTCTTAAACAAAGTATATTCCACATCTGTATCTCTCCTTTTAACACTTAGTTGTCTAGAGAAAAGTAAGAGATTTTTATATAACTTTTCTGATCTTTCTTTATCATGGTTAATTTATAGGGCATGATGAACAACTGCTGGTTCCGCATAAGGACAAATGTATGCAAGAGACACAAGGGTGAAATCGGAATTGTCTTCGAGCACCCCACCGTGCCGGGCAACCAGTCCGGCGGATGGATGGCCAAAGAAAGACATTTAGAGATATCATCAGAAAGTAACCAAACCCTAAAGAAAAGTGTCTCCACACCTTTCATGAACACTTCCTCAAAAACCTTCTCCATGGCGGAGGTCAAGAAACACAACTCCGCTGACTCTTGTTGGATAATCGTACACGGCCATGTCTATGACTGCACTCGTTTCCTTAAAGACCATCCCGGTGGCACCGATAGTATTCTGATCAATGCAGGCACTGACTGCACCGAAGAATTCGACGCCATACATTCCGATAAAGCCAAGAAAATGCTCGAGGATTATCGAATCGGTGAGTTAGTTGATTCCACAGCTTATGCATCTGACTCCAGCGTTTCCTCGCCTAACAACTCAGTTCACGGCGCATCTGATATGACTCAAACACACTTAGCGCCTATTAAAGAAGTTTCATTTGCTCCTGTAAGAAATATAGCTCTGATACCACGTGAGAAAATCTCATGCAAGCTTATAAAAAAGGAGTCTTTATCTCATGACGTGCGTCTCTTTCGCTTTGCATTGCCATCTGAGGATCAAGTGTTAGGCTTACCAGTAGGTAAGCACATATATTTGTGTGCCACTATTGAAGACAAGCTATGCATGAGAGCCTACACACCAACGAGCACTATTGAGGCTGTGGGGTACTTCGATCTTGTCATCAAGATTTACTTCAAGGGTGTCCACCCAAAGTTCCCTAATGGAGGGCTAATGTCCCAGTATCTTAACTCGCTACAACTTGGGGCATCAATAGACGTGAAGGGTCCATTAGGCCACATTGAGTACGTCGGACGAGGAAAGTTTATGGTACATGGTAAACCAAAATCTGCTAAAAAATTAACCATGTTGGCTGGCGGGACAGGAATTACTCCGATTTATCAAGTGGTTCAAGCCATCTTGAAGGACCCAGAAGATGATACTGAAATGTATGTGGTGTATGCGAACCGGACAGAAGATGATATTTTGTTAAGAGAAGAGCTTGATAGCTGGGCTAAAGAATACAGCGATAGGTTAAAAGTGTGGTACGTGGTTCAAGAGTCTATCAAGGAAGGGTGGCAATATAGTGTGGGATTCATCACGGAAAGTATCCTGAGGGAGCATGTTCCAGAAGGATCAGACGATACTCTGGCTTTGGCTTGTGGGCCACCACCTATGATACAGTTTGCTGTGCAGCCTAATTTGGAGAAGATGAATTATGATATCAAGGATTCGTTGCTAGTATTTTAAAGAAAATGTTGAAACTTGTATATAATATTTATATCTATTTTTTTTTTTATTGTTTAATAAGATGGCTGCTAATATTCCTAGCTTTTATCTTCTATTTTCTCTTCATAACAAAAAGGCGGAGAGGGGGAATAAAAATTGTTAGATGGGAAATTAGGTTTTAGATTTAGAGCAGCAATATTTCTCTTGTATGGAGCATCCAATGAGCCAAATATCTTCTTGTATATATGAGAGAAATGTTGTTGCTGAATATAAATACAGTACAAATGCTCTTTGTACCTCTCATTTTAATTTCCTTTTGCTTATTTACGTAACTCTCTATATCAAGAGCTTAATGTAATGAGTCAAGTCACTGGTAAATTGTTCAAATTTCAGTGTCAAAAATTTCTATCTACTTTTTCTACAATGTTTGAAAAATATGCATAAATTTTTCTTTATTGACTGATAATTTTTGTTTTTTTCTACAATATTTATCTATTCTTATACATGGCCACAAACAGACGAATTAGGTTTTCAGTGAAACAGTGATAATACGAATGAAAACTGCAGAGTGGACTGATTGCCTAAATGTAGTTATCTGTATTTCTATTGGAGAAAATTCCATGGAAGCTTCCTCGAAACAGACAAAATAGTTCAACAGAGCGACCCTGTTGGTGATTGGACAATAAGAAACTATTTGTACATTTCATTGCCCAAACAACAGTAACTGTCAGTCTCTTCAATTTATTACGATCTTTTACATCATATGTCCTTGTATAGTGATTGATGCATTGCTTCAACTCAACGTTATTTTGCAATTGGATACATCTCTGTCCTCTCGTATTTTCACAACTGCATGTCATATTAAGTTATCATTTTTCTTATAAATTTAAATTAAAATTTTAATATATGATATCATAGCAGGTCTATCTCAATTATTTATTTTCTGATTTGAAGGTATATTAAACTTTATTCAAGTGTCAAGTGAATGTATCGAGATCATATTAATTTGAACTTAAAAATGTAAAGGGCATATATAAAAATATATACTGAAGGCTGATCACCTAAATGATTAGTTATACTTAAACAAAATGATTTGGATAGTTTCACCATGGCTTGGATGTAGTTGCCTGTATTTATTTATTAAGTTTACACAAAAAAGTATTTATCATTTTTATTAGCAGTCAAATTAACGAGACAAAATCTACTTTATAGATTATAATTGACCATTAATCACTTTCTTGGAAGAACTAGTTTATAAATACATTTCACTCACACATATGATGGTTGCACTTTTTTCAAATATTTTAATGGAAAAAGAATGGCTCTTGTCGCTTTTTTCAATTTAGAATGCTTTGAATGAATTTTTTTTTTTTTTTTAATATTAAGAGAGAAAATTTTAATTTAAATCTATTGTGAGAGGCCATTCTTAATCTTGTTGTTAAGATAGAAATCTCCAAGTTTGTAAAATCGATTATTGGAGGGGTGCTAATGCTGTACTTTCATGCAAACGTACGTATGGCCAAGGTACATACTATGCGCCCGTGAGCACGTACGGTACTACGAACATAGGGTAGGTATTCATAAATCATTTTTAAGGTACAAAAATAAATATAAAATATACATAAAATAAAACCCTTCCCAGTTGATATCTCCCCAGAATTGCAAATTTATAGATAGAGAGAAAAAAAAATTATTGATAGTTTTCAAGAGAAATATAATGTTAATATGAACTAATATAATTTTTTATTTAAGAATAACACAAAATAAATAAGAATTATTTGAAAAATATTATTAGTAAAATAACTGTTTAATTTATTAACTCTTAATTCATGAAGAACATAAATAATTTAATTTTAGACGTTCTCAAGAAAATATATAATTAAAAGTAACTGAGGTAGGACAAAAAATAAGTCAAAAAGAAAACAATGATAATAGGAGGAGGAAGAAAGGAAAAGGAAAGGGTGATAGATACCGCCGCGTCCAGGTGGTTGGCGTCCGCAGGCATTGCAGTGAGCCAAGGCAGAATGGTGTGGTGTAGATTATTTGACCCCTTCATTATTCAGTGGACGTTGTTTGGTTGCAAGGAAGGGTCATCTTCTCTCTCTCTCTCTCTCTCTCTATTTATTTCCATTACTATAATTATCTAATTAATTAATGTTGTCTTTACTTCTACTCTATGTTTTGTACATCATAACATAGATTTTAGTATATGTTTACTTAATTTAATTATTCATTAATAACAGTAAGTTGTCGGAAGATTAAACATGAACAATTTAAAATTTTATTGTTTGATGTTATTTTCTATTTGAGATTGACTTTCACACATGTAATAGAATTGGGACAAGGAATCAACTCAAAGAATCAAAAAAAATAGAAATGAGAGGAGAATTTCACACATGTAACAAGGAAGAGACAGAATAACTTAACCTGGCTAAATGATCCACCGCCAAGTTATCTTAACGAAAAATATGTGGCAAGGAGCAACTCCAATCACACAACGACAAACCAAACTTTGAATTTTCAAAATAACATGCTTACTTTACTTGCATGATCATCTTACTTTGTGGATTCTATTGTGTGTATATACCTTGATCAAGTTGGAAACGTAATTTAATTTCTTTTGAAGAGCTAACACTAATTTATAACTTAGACTTAGTTGGTTTGAATATATACCTTTATTCCTTGTCTTTTCTATGGCTATTGCCTTAAGGATTTTTTTCCTCTTCCATGTAAACTTTTCATATCATATATAGACCATTGTAGAGTTAAATGAGTCGATAATAAAGATTTCTTTTCTCTTAATTAGTAGAGGCTTTGAATTTAAATTTTAAGTATGGAACATTTTAAAATTTTAGCAAAAAATATTTTATTTCTTTATAGGCGTACTCAAAACAAATCTGAATTAATCAGAACAATACACTCAACTAAAATAGACATTTGGATTTATATATATGTAGCTCAGACCTCACACATGCATTACATATTTCATGTGCTTGCAACAGAGACACCAAATATGGCGCAGTACAAAAGGAGCCAAAAGAATTAATTAGAGAAATAAAATATTAATAGTTAACATTAAAAGACTAGCTAGCTGTTATAATTGTTTAATTAAACTTTATTATTGACTCCAAATCTAATTTATAAAATTATTTGACATATATATAATTTGACTGACCCAACACCATTAAGTGGCATGTTAGTTGGTAGGACAGATTCTCTTTACATATACATATAAAATAATTTCGTAATAATTATGTCCACGCAACTTGGAAATGGCTCCAAAAACATTGGGTGAGAGCAGACATTTGAAAATTAATTTATTTTTAATTAAAGAGAAATATCAGTTGCAGTGCCTTCTTATAATGATTCCTAACACTCTCTTTTTATTATTAGTTAATTAATTAATTATTTATTTTGATTAATTTAATTTCACAACCATTGTAAGTGGATCCACTTTTAGCAATACTTGTCTTAGGACCAAAGACAATGGGATAGTCAAGTGCTGTCACTTTCTCTCTTGGCTGTGTGTTGTTTTAAATGGCTGCTAATAATAAAAAAATTAATTAGTATAATCTCATATCTAATTTAATTATAATAATGGGTTTTTTTTTATACACTTGTGTATCCTTTCCTCCCACTTGGCTCTACTAGGAGAATAATTAATTTGTTTATTTTATGTTACTTCTTAAGTTAATGTAATATTATTTAAAATAATTTATTAATGCAACAGTTGAAACAATAGGAGTGGAATAACAATATCTGCAAACAAACTCTTGTTGGACATGCCAAAAACTCGAAACGTAGGATATTTTTGAGGTTGTTGTAAATATCTTCTGCAAGTAAAACTTTTTGCCCACATCCATATTGTTGGGATTCTAACTGATCTCGAGTGGGGTCCGCGGAAAAAATACTAGTGGTAAAAGTAAAATAAAATTACTACTACCACATATACCTCCAATAATTTCGTATTGGATATTGACCCACCCAAATCCACCCAGAAATAATAATCACCAGTAAAAATTAAATATATACCGTAAATGCCAGATGAAAAATAAGAACATCGAGATTACGTGGTTCACCCTTCAACTGTTGAATGGCTATGTCCACGGAACAAAAACTGCGCGAATAATCTTACTACTAAAAATAGGTAGCGTACAAAAGGAATGTACAAAAATAGTTGAGATTACAAAAATAGTGGCACTCTAAGTGTTTAAAAAAAAAACACCCAAAAAAATTACAATCCTCACTATTTTCTCTCTTTCCCAATTTTAGGAACCATTTCCTAAAATTATAATCTTTGTTTTATGTTTTTGTACATTTTCATCGAGGAAAACCTTCTCCTATTTATAGGAGAAGGAGATGCGTTTTAATCAACGCATCTACCAACTTTTGTTGAAAAAAAGGAATGCGTACTCATTTTTAATTTTGCTGCCTCTTTTGAACAACAAAAACGTGCTCCTTTTTTGTTCAAACGTTGTGTGGGTCCCACATGTCGGAGGGACCCACAACACCACTCATTTTCTCTTTTTTTTTTTCAAATGTATGTGGGTCCCACATGTTGGAGGGATCCCACAACAATTCTCCCCCTCCCGACTACATGGTGGGACTATCCATTCCTGTCACTTTGACACATAGTTTAAACTTCTCCTTCGGAACGACCTTTGTCAATATATCTGCAGCATTTCTGTCTGTGTGGATTTTTCGTAACTGGAACTGCTTCTCTTCAATGGCAAGCAATGAATATCTTACATCGACTGTTGCGTCCGTGCTATAACATAGTATTTCTTGCTCAAGTCTAACGCACTTTGCACTATCACAATAAACTATATATTCTTCCTAGGCCTGCACACCCCAATTCTGAAAACGCTTAACCAAAACATTTTCTTTTCCTGCTTCCGTTGCTTGCAACGTACCTCTGCTAGCAAGTCGTTGATAACGAAACACATTTTTTTGTAATCTCAACTGCCCTGAATAGCTCCCCCCTGAAATTAAATAGGCTAACCTGATGTTTAGATTTTCTTTCATCAAGGATCACCCCATATCTGCATCTGTGTAACCCAAACAAGTGCACCTTTTCACATCCCAAAAGTTAAACATAACTATTCGAAGTTCCTCTCAGCGTATCAATAAAGATTCCCAACTTCACTGCTTTCCCAATGCTTCTTCTGAGATATCTAGTCCTTTTCGGTACACACCACTGCGTACATTAATAACTTACCGACCGCTGAAAATAATGGAACATTTGACATATACTCCTTTTCCTTCTGCTGTTGATGGGTAGGATTTCTTACGCAAACTTGAAGTGACGC